TGAGTAAATTATCCATTCCATTTGGTGTTTAGATTACTGCACTCTCAAAGAGAGAAAATCATTTCCTTGAAATTCAATAATACAGCCAACATATTACGTTTCAAATATTGTACACTTCAAAAAATAAAGTCATTTTAAATCAGTACAATGTTCTCAATCTTGCTTGCTTTATAGATATACAACACTTGCAGTCCTGTTGGATCACTCCATTTCTCCAAGCCAGAGCCAATTCATAAAGCAATCCCTTTACTAGACAGAGTCTAAGAACTAGGAACAATAAAAGAAACAACATGTACTCCAAAGGTTTCTATTATCAGACACATAATATATACACATGCTGTCCTCTCAAAACAGAGAAAAGTATATGCCTCAAAGAGGACAGACTATGATATGGAAGACTGCACCTTCCATAATTAAACTGACATAAATATTGCTCTACATACAATAGACACTCGGTCGGCTCCTACAGAACCTAAAACAGGCCTTGTTTGCATAACCGCAAGACAGTCAAAAAAAGAAAGAGAGAAAGAGAAAGGAAGGAAGAAGAAAGAGAACGCTTCTGTTAACAGATTATGCTTCTTAACAGAAACAAAATCTGTGTCCTGAATAAGCATCACCTCATTAGGGGAGAATCACAGTAGGTCTTTCTGTACTGTGTCAAAGCTGGATACAAATTATGTAGGCTCTCTCGGTATTTTTGTTTGTTTTGAGGAAGACCTTGCTAGGTAGCTATGGCTGGCTTGTTCCTCCCTAATCACCACAGACTAACCCCCAACAACAGCAATATTTTTCACTCAGCCTCCTGAATGCTGGGATTAGCAGCAAGAGCCACAAGAGCTAGCTTTGGTATTGATTTGCAAATAAAGAATTTTAATTCTCTGTACAAGCAAATCCCTTCTACTATGTCAGTAAAAAGCATGCATAATTTCCAACTTGAAGAATTTAAATGCTGTAAATACACACAGTGATTCACAGTTTGTAACACTGCTCACGGACAGTATCATGTTTTAGCCTCTCAGGAGTTCCATGAGACTGTACCAACATCTTCATTTTAGAAATGATAAAGCCAAAACATCTTGCCTAAGGTCCCTTTACAGAATTCTACTGTCTCCTCTTTCAAACTCAAGGGAAAATACAAAGGATTCCACTTACTCCCAGGTTGCTATATAACCCAAGCTTTTCTAAATAATAAAATATAATCGAGACATATAGATATTATCATATATAAATGCTGAATGTCATACTCTCTCCAAGCTCTGTATTAATGGTTTTTAACCTTTACATCCTGATCCTTTATGAAATGCCATGAAAACTGAAGCTTCCCACCCCTGCACAAGGCATATAAGCAAATCATCACAGCAGCCTTATTCATCATAACCGAAGAGCAGAAAGCTACCCAAATGTCGGCTACCCGTTGGATGCATAAACAAACTGCATTATATCTATACAATGCAGTACCATTCAGCCACAAAAAGGAATGAATCCCGAAAACATTACACTAAAAGAAATTAGCCACATAAGCATCATATATATGACTCCTTTTATTTGATCTATCCAAAATAGTAAGAACCCCACGATCTCACTCATATATAGAGTCTTGAGCTCAAAGAATTTGACAGTGAAATGAATTTCACCACAGGCTGGGGGAGAAAGGAGGAAGAGAAGGAGGTAGAAAGGTTCATCAATGAGTACTGAGTTCGAGATAGTTAGGAAGCGTGCTGTACTGTTACACTGTTGACTACCGATAATAAGAATGTCCCGCACATTTCAAAAAGTGAGGTTAAAAGATTTAGGAATCTTTTACCATAAAGGGTTGATAAGTGTTTGGAGGAAGAAACAGATTTAACCTGATTTAACCATTATGTAATAGTCTATTGATATTGAAATTTTTATGTTTTTATATTAGTTAAATAAATGTAAGGACTAGGGAAATGACTTAGTCAGTAAAGTGTCTGCCAGCGTTAAGGGATTGAATTCAGATCCCACAGCATCCATGTAAAAGGATGGGTTGGTGCCCACCTTTAATCCTAACACGGGAAAAACAGAGATGGAAGGATCCTTGGAGCTTGCTGGTCAACTAGTCTTGCTGAATTAGCAAGCTCCAGGTTCAGTAACAAACCCTGTCTCAAAAAATAAGGTATGTCTTGACCCCTTTGCTCATATTCTCACTCCTTCCACTCTTCACCTGGACTTTGGGAGCTCAGTCCAGTGCTCCACTGCGGGTCTCTGCCGCTGTTTCCATCAGTTGCTGGATGAAGGCTCTATGGTGAATTTATGATATTCATCAATCTGCCTACTCAGCCTAAATATAGTAGGGAGGGCCTTGGACCTTCCCCAAAGGAATGTGCCACTGAGGAGTGGATTGAGGGTGGGGCGGGGGAGGTAGAGGGGATAGGAGGAAAGGAGGGAGTGGGAACTGGTATTGGTATGTGCAATGAAAAGAAATAGTTTTCTTTATTAAAAAAAATAAAAGAAACTGACACAAAAATAAGATGTGTGGTGATTGTGGAAGGGTCTAGATGTCAACGTCTCTCTGCACTCCACACACATGAGTCATGCATGCATACCTGTACCCACACAAACAGCAACACACACATATACCACACACATGAAGAAAGATAAAATGTCCACGATAGGCAAACCAAAGAAAATATAAAGTAAACTAATTACTGCTTAGGGACTGAGGGAATATTAGAGAAATGGGGATTGACCTGTAAGGCCATGACTGTGGTAGGTGATGATAAACAACCATGAACATACATAAAACTACTAAGTATATACTTTAAAATGCTTAAATTGTATTGTATATGAATTGTACTGCAATAAAGATGTTCTTATTTGCAGTGCTTGGAATCAAATCCAAGGTCTTGTGTCTACAATGTGAAAGTTCCACTACTGAGCTAAATTCCAGTTCTTCAAGATTTTATTTTTAAAACTATCATGACAACGGAAAAATAAAATAACCAAAAATTTCCTGAGCCCTGGAACTCATCTACAGATAAATACAATAGGGTCCAAGAACCAAAATTAGTTAACTCTAAGAATCATAAAATTCCTGGGCGGTGGTGGCACACGTCTTTAACCCCAGCACTCGGGAGACAGAGGCAGGTGGATCTCTGTGAGTTCAAGGCCAGCCTGGTCTAAAAGAGCTAGTTCCCCAGGACACACTCTAAAGCTACAGAAAAAAAAGAATCATCAAATTGTTTTTATTTCATAGATGTTTTACTTCAGTTGTTCCAACAACTACCAAGCCTATGCCCTATCTTTTTCAAAACCTCTATGCCATTAGATCACATGACCACAGTTTTCAACACTGATTCTTTATAAACAAATAGTACAGTTTCATAAATAAAATTTTATGAGCTAGGTCCGGGCATAGTAGTACGCTCCCATAACTCAAGCATCCAGGAAGCTAAAGCAGAAGGATCAAATAGCTATATAGTAAAACTCCAGCTCTACAAAAGATAGAAACACTCTTTAATGATTGAGCATCTCTTCCTGGCAAGGAATGGCTGTAATTCAAAAATGTAAAAAGATTTCTGTCATAAAGCATAATAAAGCCTAATACGCAAAGTAAGATCCATGCACATGTAATAATATTCAAAATAGAAGACAAGTCTTCCTTTTTAAAGGGTCAGGGAAAGGGAGCCAGAAAGAATGAGTGTAGCCTTAAAAAACAGGATCTGACCATTCCTAAATGGGGATATAGGGAATTCCAAATGAAAGCAGAAACAAGGATGTCTCAGAATTGAAAGGGGCCAAACACTCCCACCTTTGGTAGGTTCAGATAATCCAATGAAGGCTGCTGAGAGGCTGTCAGCAAATCAAGGCTGCTGTGTTTAAAAGGTGCATGTATGTGAGAGTCAGGAACAGTGCAGTGAGGAAACGCAGGAGCCTACTACAAGAGCATGGTAAGGCTGGTAGGATCTGATTTAAGTTAGGGCATTTTTTCTCTTTTTTTTCTTTTGGTTTTTCGAGACAGGGTTTCTCTGTAGCTTTGGGGGCTGACCTGGCTAGCTCTTGTAGACCAGGCTGGCCTCGAACTCACAGAGATCCACCTGCCTCTGCCTCCCCAGTGCTGGGATTGAAGGTGTGCACCACCACCACCAGGCCATTAGGGCATTTTTTTAACTGTCAAGGCATGCTGGAAAAATAGCGGTCTTATATGCTGTAGCTACTCATTTAAAGCTGCCAATAAGAGCCAGGCATTGTCTCATGTCCAGTCGTTCCACCCACTTGGGAGTCTGGCTTGTGTTTGAGGCCAGAATATGAGCAGCAACTTAGGGAAACGCTGTCTCAAAAAAGAAAAAAAAAAGGAAAATGAAAGGAAGGAAAGGAAGGATGGCAGCTGTATTTCATCTGATAAGACTCATATTCCAAACTTCTTGAACTTCTTGCTACACTTATTTGTGAGATTAGGAGGGTCCAACATGTTCTTAGGCAGCCTTTGCAGTTAACTGAGGCCTGTAAGTTTTCAGTAAGCAATCTTGATAAGAATGGAATGTTCAACTTTCTGGAGACCAGTAAACCTGCACTCCCAAACAGTAAACAAAATGGCACATTGCAGTCACAAACTATGAGTCAGAGGGCCAGAGAAGTACAGTATCATTTCCCTTGCAATTGCTTTATTTCTGTGAGCCTGGGCTGTTAGGAGATAATAACCACAAGCAGTTACCATTTCTGGGTTATACATTTACCACGTGGTCAGGAACTGAGCAGATGGCATAGGGGTGTGTACCTGCCAGGCATAGTTGAGGATTGGAGACAAAGAGGCCGGAAGACGCTGAAACCTGTCTAAAAGGTTTCATTTCTACACAAAGCAACGTTAGCCACAAGAACTAAAAGAGGGCTATTGAATGTGTCTAGCTGACTCTCCTACTCACACTCCAAAGAGGCCTGGCTCTAATCCTCAAAGGCCAGTTTGCCAAATTCAAACACAGGCTTTTTACTTTCACCCTGTAGCCCCTCCACTCCCTTTTCCCCTTCCGCTCAGGGCTTACTTGTCCCGGATGATAGTCTGCAGCTCCCGGATCTGATCATTCATAGGCAGCAGCTTAAGCTGTGCCCCGATCTGTCGGGACAGTTCACAGTCCCCTAGGAGGGAGTCACCGACAGGTGCGTCGTAGTTGCCACTGTCACTACTGTCACTGTGGTTCTCAGAGTGAAGATTAATGCCACAGCAGGCCTGAGAGTCCCGCTCCCAGAGCATGCTGGAATGGGCGTGCCCAGGGAGGAGAGTCAGCTTAGCCATGGCAGCGTTATTTTCTTCAGCATGATCCAGGATAGGGTCGTCTGTTCCCAGATGCTCGGGACTTGGGGTTGAAGTAGAGTTTACTTGCCGGTTGTGACAGGGCATGGAGTCCGGACGCTGTAACTCCGTGGCCATACACTGGGCCCCGGGCTGTCCCCGCAGCTATCAACCCTAAGGATAAAGAGATAAAGAGCAGAAAGAAAAGGATGCGGACACGTGCTTCCTCCGGGCCCCCGCCTCCAGCAATCTCTAACCCTGGCTGCCCTCTCACCCCTAGGCCTCCGCGGTCCTTTTGCACACTTTGTCCCACACCCGCCCACACCAGACGTACTGCCGGCTTAGACACCTTATTGGCCTGTCTCTCTGTCAGTCTGCAGCGCGCTGGTTTGTTAACTCTTTTGAGTCTCTCCTGCTAGACAGATTCTCACACGTAGCCTGGCAAACCCGGCTAAGCCAGAAATTCTTGGTTGCTGAGTCCCCGGAAAATCCCTAGGACTTCCTGCAGTCAGACCTTTGGTACAGCCAAGAGAAAATACGGGTGCGTTATACATGTTAGGCCCATGCTTTCAGACTTTCTGACTTGGCAAAGAAATTGTACTTGAGTCAGTTGCGTCTTCAAGCTAATTAATAGTTTATTCGTGTTACGGAAGGAGGAAGAACTAGTAGGCCACTGAAAAGTATGGCCTTTCTAGACAGTTCTAGAAGCTGCAGTTTCATAAGTGTGCTTGATCAGCAAAGTTTTTCTTACTAGTATTGGTTGGGCCCTACACTGCACATGTTGCCATGGAAATTTGTTGTCATTTTCGATACACTGTCACTTTGTTCTTCCAAACAATACTTGGAAAGGTGCCTTTCAAAAATGCATAGGTACTCACAAAAGAGAAGAACACAAATGTCTAGGATATTAATTTTCGAACATCTGTGTGTATTAGAACAATTGTCGAGCTCGTTAAAATGCTAAGTTTTGACCGGACAGAAAGGCACACATCTGTAATCCCAGCACTGTGGAAGCTGACACAAAAGACCCAAGAGTTCGAAGCCAGCCTGGGTTACACAGCAAGCCCTAGTCTCAAAATTCATAATGTAAGCAACGTCTCATAGCTTACCATTGAGATTCTAACCCAGTAATCATGAAATAGGACCAAAGAATCTTTAGTTTTAACAAGTAACTCAAAGATCTGTTTTGCTTATTTGTTTGTTTGCTTGTTTCAATGCGATAGGTTTCATTATATCGTTTTCATAATGCTTTATTTGGGTTGACCTTTCTCCCCCCCACCTCTCCTTCATCCCCTATTTCTCCTCTTCAACCCCCAGTAGTTCATTCTTCACTTTCATGTCATGTATTATTATCTCCCCCTGCCTTTTACTAAAACCTCTGTTCCCCAGCTGTGATAGCCTTTCTATTTTCATTACCTATACCACAGTATACCCCCCCCACACACACACAAATTTACAGAAATATGAGTGACAGATAATGGGACTCTCCAGGCCTTTGGCAGAAAATGAACCTTGACCTAGTTGTCTGTTTTATATTTTATTCACTCATTTCTTGCTCTGGTGTTGTTATTAGTCATGTTTTCCTCTTTGTGTGTCTCATCTGTGTCCTACTTCCAAGTCTGTCCATTACTATCTGTGAATATTGTTGTTCTTAATTCCTGTTTGTCCTATGGGGGTAAAGACGATTACGCAGGGAAAAGACACAGACACGCGGCGGTACCACGTGGTACACTTTTTAATGGGAGGGGAAAACACACTAGGAAAAGTGAAAGGAAGGGACAAAGGGAAGGGTTAAGAAGGGAAGGGAAGAAGGGGCGAACTCGTGGCTTGTCCTTGCTTTTAACAGAGGATGCAAAGGCTTCTGGGAAATGTGTCCCGCGCTTGCCGTCCAGAGGGATGTTGGGAGTTGTAGTGTTGCAAGGGAACAACATTTCACCCTTTTGGTTTGATTAAAAAAAATTGGGGGACCTTAAAGGGTAGGGAATGGGGGCGTAGTCCAGTCTCTCATGGCTGCTTCCTGCTGACTTTGGGCGTTGAGGGGTCCAGGGAATGTCCGATTATCTTGGCAATGTCCCACTGGCGTTTGCGGTCGCTGGTGCAGTTGGTCACTGATGTCCATGTCCAGGGTTGCTGGCTGGTGTAGTCGGTCGCTGATGTTTGAAGTCCTGGCTGTCGTCTGAGGCGGCTGATTGAAGAAATCTGTGTGGCTTTTCCTGAGTAGCTGGGTCATCATTAAGATGCTGGAAGGCAAAAGTTGCATTAGTAAAAGAAAAAATTAAAAGAGGGGGGGGATTTTTGGAGAGCTGGGGTGAAGAGTGGGGGGAGAGGGTCTTAGGATGTCCGGGGTTAAGAAATGATAAAAATATTAAGTGATACTTATTCCTTTGTGTTTGATCCGTTGGGCTGGCATCCCGGAGCTTAAGGAAACTGTCTTAAAAGAAATAGATTCTAACCATACATCTCTTAACATTTTAGGGGGCCACTGCTGCAGTCAGCGGCTGACCTGTTACATAAGAGCTTTGTAGAGGAGAATCTGCTTACCACTTGTCTTCGTATTTGTTGGGGGTACCTGTAACGACAGCTAGACGGTTATTTATGAATTTAAAGAAGGGAGGGTGTGTTAACACAGCGATGGATCGGGACCATTGTTGTCCTTAGACTGTAGTAGGGGGGCTGAATCCGGCGTCCTTTGGAACTTAAGAGTACAGGGTCCGGTTTGAGTCACCGTGTATGAAGGATTATCTTGGGCTGTGGAGATAAACGGTTTAAGATGTGACAGGTGAATCCAATGAGGAATTCCTTTAAGCTTGGCAGCTGTGGGAGTTAAAAGAATTACTTTGAAAGGGCCCTGCCATTTAGGGGAAAGGGGTGAAGGGCGCTGGCCTGGGGGTGAGAGTAATACCTCATCCCCTATTTTAACTGGCGGCGGACATGTATTAGCACATGGTCGAGGTAGTGAGTGATCTGTGAAGTCCCATAGTAGTGAGCGTAAGTGGAACAGGAGGGGAGTGAGCAGGTGGTCAGGAAGGGGGGAAGTCTCCGATGAGAAGCCGGGGGTTAAGACCGGCCGCCCATACATGAGTTCAAAGGGTGAGATGAGGAGGGGGCCCCTTGGAAGGGCTCGGAGTCGGAAAAGAGCTAAAGGCAGGAGCCTTACCCAGTCAAGGTGGAGTTCTTGTGACATCTTAATGAGGGCTTCCTTTAAAGAGCGGTTAGTTCGTTCTACCTTACCTGACGACTGAGGATGGTATGGTATATGAAAATTCCAGGGGATCCCGAGGGCTTTAGACAAATTTTGAGAAATCTGAGAAGTAAACTCTGGACCGTTATCTGACTGGAGAGAAGTTGGGAGTCCAAACCGAGGAATAATCTCTCGGAGGAGAATATCAGAGACTGTCTGGGCCCTCTTGTTAGAGGTGGGGAAGGCTTCAACCCACCCAGACATTGTATCCACCAGAACCAGGAGATATTTAATCCTCCTGACTGTGGGCATATGAGTAAAATCCAGCTGCCAATCAGTTCCCGGAAGGGAGCCCCTTGCTTGGTGGGTAGGGAAAGGGAAGCTACGATATTTAGTCCTGGGATCTGACTTTTGGCAGATCTGACAGGAGGCTGCTGTAGCTTTTAGGAGCCTGATATCCTTAGGTGTAACAAAGGGAGAGTGGTGGTTAGTGACAGCGGGAGCTTAGAGGGGCCTTGGAAGATCGAGGGGGAGGCATAGGACAGGGAGGAGACGCACCAAGCTGCCTGTGTGGCCTGTGGCGGAGAGGAGACAGGGAAGAAACGGAAGACACGCACGACCTGTTGCAGGAGAAGTGGGGCGAGGCTGGCCCGGAGAAGGAACGGTATTGGGTGAGCTGTCGCTGTCGCTCAGCTGGGCAGAGCGAGAGTGAGTGGCCCCCCCGAGGCGCGGTGGGGGGGGTGGAGGCAGGGGGGTTGAGGTTTGTCCGCGGGATCCATAGCAGCGGCGGGAGCAGAGGGTCCCTGGAGGGATGGCATTGCACCAGCCTTCCAGATGTGGGGGTTGGTTACAGAGCCCATGACTGAAATGAAGTCTGTCCGCAAAAGGTAACTGGCCCAAACCCAGCTACCGTACGGGGGGAGGAAAAGCCCCGGCCCCGGCTGGGAGGAGACAATTACCGCAAACACGGCAAGCCAAGAGCGCTGGCGTCCCGGGCGTTCTTGGGGCGTGCTAACTCTTAACTGCCCTGAGCCCAGCAACCGTACGGGAGAGAAAGTCCCGGCTGGGAGGAGGCGATTAAGCTCTTTAGGGCACAGGGCCTGGAGGTGCCACAAAAAGTGGCCCAAAAGTGTTCAGGAAAAAAGTTAGAAAAAAAAAGGAAGAAAGAAGGAGAAAAAAAGCCCGGAGCGCCGAACTCCGGGTGCGCGGACTGAGCATTTCGGCCGAGGGCAAAAAAAAAAAAACCCGGGGGAGGTGGGTTAGCAACCTAGCCTTAGCCCGAGGTGTGCAAAGAAAGCCGGCCGGACAGTCTTTGAACGCCCCAGGGGGAAGGAAGCCAACTCAGGGTAACTTACGGATCAGGATGAAGCTGTTGAAATGGCCGTGGAAACAGGTGGTGGTGAGCGAAGGCTGTTGGTTCTTTGGACCTTGTCGGTGAAGCCCAGAGGCAAAGCCTCGGGCACCAGATGGAGAGGTCTCTGAGTCGATGCGGCCGCACCAAAATGTTGTTCTTAATTCCCGTTTGTCCTATGGGGTAAAGAGGATTACGCAGGGAAAAGACACAGACAAGCGGCGGTACCACGTGGTACACTTTTTAATGGGAGGGGAAAACACACTAGGAAAAGTGAAAGGAAGGGACAAAGGGAAGGGTTAAGAAGGGGCGAACTTGTGGCTTGTCCTTGCTTTTAACAGAGGATGCAAAGGCTTCTGGGAAATGTGTCCCGCGCTTGCCGTCCAGAGGGATGTTGGGAGTTGTAGTGTTGCAAGGGAACAACAAATATAATGTAGACTGCATAAATTTCATTGCATTGTGAAATTAAAATCTCGAATGCAATCCCACACACTTTTGAAAGCTTGTACACCTTTCCACCTAGCACATAATGCAAATTGCAAGGGTCTCTAGGTTTAAAACCTGCATCTGCGTACGTCAAGTAGGCAAGAACAAATGACTATTTTGTCAATGAATACTTTAAGGGAATTCACTGAAGCCCAGTATTGTATCATGAACAAAGATATCCTGGCTCCAAAACTGCCCTAGAGTTTGTCCATTGTTTCATCAATCCTGTGACCTTATTTTCAATGCCATA